TGTTTTGCAGACCTTAAAGTGCCATATAAATGTTAGCTGTTATCATACAATAAACTTGGTTTTTGAGGTCTGGGTAATGTTTTCAATTCACTTGTTAAGTATGTGCAACCTCAGTCCCAAAGCCCATGGGTATGGGACTCATGGGACATTGATCTCCACCAATAAGGAGAGAGTCCCATACCCACGGGCTTTGGGATTGGGGTTACACATGTGCTGTATACCAGGCATTCTATTACTTACTGGCTAGGGATACAGAAACAAAAACAAAACATTCCCTGCTTTCAAGGAGTTTACATTCCAAAGGGAAGATCATATATATATATATATATATGTGTGTGTGTGTGTGTGTGTGTGTGTGTGTGTGTGTGTGTGTGTATATATAGTAGATATGTAGATATGTATATGTATGTGCATATATGTATATGTATACACACATATACATATATGTATATATATTTATATATGTATGTGTGTGTATATGTGTGTATATGTGTATGTATCTATGTGTATATGTGTATATGTATGTGTATATATATATATATATATATGAATGAATATAAATACACATAGACCAGTTTTGCCCTCTGTCTCCCTTTCCCTCACCCCTCACCCCCAAAAGCACTGGAACAGGAATAAACAATTAAGATACCCAGCCTGTGCACCAGCATGCCATGTACCTCTCTGATAAAGGTACCCTAAGTGAACAGGAAGGAACCCTGTAGGAGCCTTTGTTTGGCATCAATCTGCAACTCCCACAGGACCTTTGGTAAGAAGTGTCACTAGCACTCAGAAGAAGAAATCAAGCTTCTAGAATGACACACTTACCCTCCCTCCCCACCCCCCAAAAAAAAGCAGTAGAGAGGTCGGTGCCACAGAAGAGTCCAAGACCGAGATCAGCTGCTTCAGACTCCTGGGAATGTTGGAAAGGAATGGAAAGGAGTAGGAAATTAAACAAAAAAAACCAAAACCGCATGCCATTGAATAAATCATTTGATGTTGTGATTCAGAGGCATGAGGCACCCAATCATGTGATTGTAAGCCCTGAAGATATGATTTGGCATGGCAGCTTTGAATGGACAGATGGTAGTCATGGGCAGGATTACCATTTGCAGTGAAAACCAGGTCAGGCCTCCAGTCACATAAACTACTGTTTGTTCATTTTGTGTGTTTTTTTTCCCCTCCCTTTGGAGTGGGGAGATATACCATTTTATTTTATTTATTTATTAGATTAAAAAGCAAAAACTGTGTATTCCTTAAGGCCATGGGGAATGAGAAGAATGGGGTCTCTGATTCAAATATTAAAGATTAAAGTAGTAATAATAAAAGAGAAGTGAGCCATTGGTGCTCCTTGGGCAGGCTGATTTATTTTTCCTGTGTGTGGCCTTCTGATTTTTTCCCTTTTTAAAACTAATTTATTTTGTTAATTAAGCATTTATTATTCCTCTCTCTCCTTTCCTCCTACCCATGCCTGAAAAGGAAAATAAAAACCTTGTAACAAATACGTATAGAAAAGCAAAAACAAATTCTCTTACTGGCCATGTTCAAAAATATGTCTCATTCTGCATATCGAGTCTATCACCTCACTGTCAGGAGGTAGGGAGCATTTTTTTTTGCTAGGCAAAGGGGTTAAGTGACTTGCCCAGAGTCATACAGCTAGTGAGTGAGGATGTCGTTGTCAATAGGGAGCATTTTTCATTGAAACCTTGGAATCATAGTTGACCACTGTGTTGATCAGAGTTCTTATATCTTTCCAATTTGTTTGTCTTTACGATGTAATTGTTATAAATTGTTCTCTTAGTTCCAGGCTGACCAATTTAAAAACTTTTGTATCTGGCTCCAAAAGGTAGCAGGCCAAGGTTAATAGCAGTTGGGAAGCTACACTCTGCAGACATGAAGCACCCCCAGACATGCCCTGTCTTTTCTACAGACTCCGACAACATTAGAGGGTCCAGCCCCTTGAGTCTCATAGCTATGCAAGTACCTGTATCTCTAAGATGATCTGGTCTTGTTCTGGTTAGAGATTGAATAGCATTATCTGGAAGCCAATGGCATGGCATGCAAACGTCATAATGAGAAGCCAATGTGGATTTCAGAGTCTTGCTGAGAGAGCCTACTGTGTGCTTCAATTTATTATAATTATTATTAGTAGTAATACTACTAGTAGTAGTGTTCATGGTAATAATAATAACAATAATAATGATAATAGCTAACATTTATATATGGTTACTAATATGTCAGGCAATGTGTTAAGCATTTTACAATTATTATCTCATTTGATCTTCGAAACAATCTTGCAAAGTAGGTGCTATTATTATCCTCATTTTACAGATGAAGAAACTGAGGAAAACAGAGGTTAAGGAACTTGCTTAAGGTCACACAGCTAATGTCTGAGGCTGGATTTGAACTCAGGTTTTCCTGACTCCAGGCCCTGCGTTCTATCCACTGCCATCTAGCGGTCAAACTTGGGTACCCTGTGACAGCTGAAGCTTCCACATGTCTGGCAGTAACTCATGCCTGGAATGCTCTTCTTCTGCACTTCTGCCTTCCTTTAGGTTCCAACTAAAATTCAACTTTCTACAGGAAGCCTTTCCCTACTCCTCACCCCTACCCTCACCCCCCAATTCAATTGCCTTCCTTGTCTTGATTATTTCTTATTTATCTCGTATAGTTCTTGTTTGTACATAGCTGTTTGCATGTTGTCTCTCCTTTTAGACAGTGAGCTCCTTGAGAGGAGGGGCTGTCTTTTGCTTTTCTTTGCATTCTGGCTATTTAGAAAAGTGCTTATCACATTGTAAGTGCTTAACACATATTTATTTATTTATTTACTGATTAACTGACTCTAAGACTAGTTCCATCTGATATTCTCTTGAAGCAACTGAACCTATAGATTGTAAAGGTAAGTGGATTGCTGTGACAGTGGCGGTGACCAGCGTCCTAACTCTGGCCAGCTATCTCCTTCTAGGACTGCACCCAGGCTGTGTTTATGGTGGGCACTTAATCAATGGAAATGACCACTGCTGAGACTCCAGAAGCAATTCAGGATCTCAAAGAGCCCAGAGTCTGTAGAACTCAATTAAAAAGGACAAGTTCTTCAAAATCCAAAGATAGGATTCCCAAGCACTTTCTTCCTGCTGCTCTAGCCAGCCAAACCACCCTTCCCCATCCCTTTACCAGCCACCTCTGTTCAGTGAATTTCAGACGAGCCTCTTTTATCTAAATTTCCAGCTTGTCAAGCATTGAGGAAACCTGAAGGATCATCTCTTTCAGTGTTGGAATGACCCTTAGAGCTCATCTTCCATTTTACAGATGAAAAAATGAATCCTAGAAAGAGAAATAGATTTGCCAAGGTCACATAAGAACTATATGGTAGGGTTTGGATTCAAGCATAGCCAAATCCAGTGCTTTTATCATTGCACTAGGATGCTGGATGTGTGAGTGTGAGTGTGTGTGTGTGCTGATTCACTTGCAGATCAAAGTTCCTCAAATTTCTTTGTGCTCCTCCTTTCCCCCACCCCCACATCCTTTTTCTGATTAGGAAGAGGTAGTTTGGTAAAAGCCTGGGTCACTCAGAGGAGTGACCTACAGCTCTAAGAGCTATTGCAATGTAGGTCCAATCTTTTCTGCCTTGATAACCCCATTTTTTTTCATGCCTCAGAGGTGTTAAGAGCATCTGATAGGCTTAAAAGAAATGGTTAACAGCCCACTGCTCAGAGAATGTCAGTGACCACAGCAATCCAGATTATATTCCTGGGCAAAGGCTATGTCATTTTTTAATAGTTGCAATCCCACAGCCTGACACAACATCTTGAATATAATAGACACTTAAAAACTACTTGTTGTATAAATAATAGTAACCTCCCATCCTTTACCTTCTTCCCTCCCCTTTTCCTTCTTCTTCTTCTCTCCCCTCATCAGTTCCTTTGAAAGAAAATAGGTCATCCTCTGCAGAAAGTGATATCCAATGGGAAAAAAACTGATTGTAGTTTTTCCTATCACCACCAATTACCATAAGCCATGGCATAGGGAGCAACTATGAGGCCCCCAAATTCATCTCTTTTCTTTTCCTCCTTTTCCCTTTCCTCCTTCACCTCAGGGAGACCATCCAATCAGCAGGGAACAGTGCAGAAGAGGCTCTAGGATCTAAGAAGAAGAAGATGGAGAGTTCCACAGGGGCACCTTTGGCTTGGATTACAGTGCTTTTCCCCATGTGTCCAGAAATAGTAGATGAGTCCCTTGAAATTAATCTACATATTTTAGGGCAGGTCAGGGGTATGCTTGGCTACAAGTCCTGCAGAACTTGCTTCTGGAAATGACAACCACCTCTTTATCTTTGCCCTATAGTCAGCTGAGGGTGTGTGGTACTAGGGGGGAGCTCTTATTACAAGCCCTACCTCTGTGAGCTCCAGTGAGAAAACAGTTAGGAATCAAATATGGCATCAATGATTCTTTTCTTCTTATGTTAGCTATGGATTGCTGTCATTCATTTTTCAATGTATTTTCCTTGAGGACAACTTCTGTCACAGGAACCTTCACAGTGAGTCACCAGTTGGATTAAGACACTAGTAAAATGATTTGTCCTCCCACAGACTCACAGAACCAAAGATTGTTATAGCTGAAAACAACCTTAGGGGACAAACAGTGCAATCATTTATTTTTACAGTTGAGAAACTGAGGCCAACAGAAAGGAAATGACTTGTCCAAGGCCATACAACCAGTCAGCAGCAGAGGGGAAACATAAGCCTAGCTCTGATTTCTTCTCCAGTGTTCTTTCAGCTACTTTGTACCTGGGGTCTTGTTCTAAGATACTTCCTTGTTAAACTCTCAAATTTTTGTTTGACAGTGCCAGCACTGGAGAAATCCCAGACTGTTTCAAATATTGTTTGTGCCTACTGCTGGCAGAGATCCTTTGGCAAGAATTATGACCAGCGTTTTATGTTCTAAATTTAGCAGAAGGCAGCAGGGGCATTGGATTTTTGTCTGACAACAATAATAACAGAATTCAGAATTTTACCAGGACTGAAGGTGGATCAGATTCTTATAGTTTCAACTGTGGAGGCAACTAGCAAAAAATTCGATCTCTAACCAGAACAAGACCAGGTCATCTTAGAGATACAGGTACTTACATAGCTATGAGACTCAAGGGGCTGGACCCTCTAATGTTGTCAGAGTCTGTAGAAAAGATCGGGCATATCTGGGGGTGCTTCATGTCTGCAGAGTGTAGTTTCCTAACTGCTATAGATAGAGTGCTGGCCCTGGATTCAGGAGGACCTGAGTTCAAATCCAACCTCAGACTCATAGCACTTAGGGGTGGGGGGTGGGTCTTTGTATCAACCTACCCAGGAAATTGATTCTTCTGGGTAACTTCAGTGGAGGGGAAAAACAAACAGAATACTTTTTTTCCCCCCAGTCAGAATTTCAGAAGATGCAGTGACTCAGAATTCAGTGTCATTACAAAAATAGGACCTGTCATTTTTTCTGCTTTCAGTGATGTCCCTACCTTGAATGAATGTCTCCTGCTAATTCCAGGCTCCAGCTTCTAGTTTCTATTTTTCTTAGGCAGCAGAAGGGTTTTCCTAGGAACTTCCTGGACAATTTATAGGAAAGTTATCTCTGGCTTTGCTGAGCAACTGGCTAGTGTTTTTATCTCCTGTGTATGTTTGCAAGATGCCTTTAATTTGCCCACTTTTTCCCTAAGGGAAGTTACTGTGGTCTTCTACTTCTTACAGATGGAAAAGGCCAGAGTTCTACCCTCTGAATATCTCTGAGTCACAGAGAGGAAGTCTGTATTGGGTGGGGTAAGTACGTAAGAAGGAAGAGTGAGAGAGTGTCATTCTATCTTGACTTCAAGGCTTTCCTGGTTTTTTCCTAAACCAAGCCAAGATGGGCACCATTCTCCCTCCTCACTTCTCCGAGCTTTTTTTGGCTTGTCTTCAAGTTGCTGAATCATTCCAGGGCAATTAAGAAATTGGAATTGTGTTTAAAAGCTGTAGGCTAATATTGAGCATTTATGATAAATTTTATAATCAGGTATACAGGGCACAATCCAGGCTGTCAGAATGAATGGCCCTTCCACTAACATTGCTATGTAGGTGAAATCTAGCAGGATAAATGCTAGCTCTAATAATAACAACAGTAAATTAATAATATTTACATTGCACTTTAAGGTTTGAAAAATGCCGTTGCATGGACGTTTGACTACTGACAACAAATGCTAATAGGGAGGAAGAGCATTTAGTGCTAAACCCTGTGCCCCTTCCCCCTTATGCTTTCTCCCACTCAGGATATGTATTATCTTTTCATAGCATCTCTTGTTTGCCTCTTTAAGATTGCTTTAGATATTAATTTTAATAATAATAATAATAATAATAATAATAGCATTTATATGAGCAGCTAGATGGCACAGTGGATAGAGGGCAGGGCTTGGAGTCAGAAAGACCTGAGTTCAAATCTAGCCTCAGACATTTACTAGCTGCATGAGTCTGGGCAAGTCACTTAACACTTTTTGCTTCAGTTTCTTCATTTGTAAAAGGATCTGGAGAAGGAAATGGCAGACCATTCCAGTACCTTTGCCAAGTAAGCCCCAAAAAGGGGTCACAAAGAGTTGGACAGAGCTGGAAAAAAACACAACTGAACAACAACAACAATGTGCTAAGTGCTTTACAAATATTGTCTCATTTGATCTTGACAACAAATCTGGAAGGTGGGTGTTATTACTATCCCTGTTTTACAGATGAGGAAACTGAGGTAGGTAAAAGTTAAATGACTTGCCCAGGGCCACCGGACTAAGTACGGGGAAAGGAACCAAATCGCCCCATTCTTGCATATAAAATGAAAAAATTGTACTAGATGGTTTCTAAGGTCACTTTCAACTCTCAGACTATGATACAAAAAGCAACTTCATAACAAAAAGACAGTTAAATTCTTAGCTGAAAAAAAAGGTTTTCCTTTTCACCAACAAAAGCATACAATGCTTCCCTTATTACTATCAGCCAAGTTCTGCTTGGTGGGTGACGGTGGGATGGGACTAAAATCAATAAACATCTATTAAGCCGCTACTACTATGTGCCAGGCACTGTGCTGGGGATACAAAAAGAGGTGAAAGACATTGTTGGCTCCCAAGGAGTTTACAGTCTAATTGGTGAGATAACAAGCAAACAGATGTGGATAAACAAGCTAAATAAATAAAAAACAGTTAACAGCAGGTAGGCACTAGAATTAAGAGAGGTTGGGGAAGGCTTATAGTAAAAGATGTGATTTTAGTTGGTACTTAAAGAGGTCAGTGGTTAGAGCCAAGGAGGCGGAGTGTTTTAGGCATGGAGGATAGCAGAGAAAACACCCAAAGTGGAGAGCTGGAGCATCTTGTTCGTGGAACAGCACCAGCAGGTTGTGATCACTGGATCAAAGAGTACATGGCTAAGAGTAAGGTATAAGAAGACTGGAAAGGTAGGAGGGAGATAACACTATGAAGGGTTTTGAATGACAAACAGCATTTTGCTTTTGATCCTGGAGGCAATAGGGAGCCATCGGAGTTTATTGGGAGAGCAAATGTGTGTGTTGCATGATCAGATTTGTTCTTTAGGAAAAATACTTTAGCGGCTGAATGGGAGATGGATTGGAGTGGAGAAAGAGTTGAGGTGGGCAGACACATCAGCAGGCTATTGCAACAGCCCAGGTGAGGTGAGGAAGGCCTGCACTAGAGTGGTGGTAGTGGCAGAGGAGAGAAGAGGACATATTGAAGAGATGTTCCAAAGGTACAACCAACAGGCCTTGGCAATAGGTTGAACATAGTGGTGGTGGGGGGGGGTGGTGTGAGAAATAGTGAAAAGTCCAGAATGACTGTAGGTTGCAAGCCTGAGGGATTAAGAGGATGGCATTGCCCTCTACAATGGCAAGTAAGTTAGGGGACAGAGTGTTTGGGGGGGAGAAGATATTGAGTTCAATTTTGGACATATTAAGTTTAACATGTCATGGGGCAGCTAGGTGGTGCAATGGATAGAGCACTGGCCCTGGAGTCAGGAGGACCTGAGTTCAAATCCAGCCTCAGACCAAACACTTGACACTTACTAGCTGTGTGACCCTGGGCAAGTCACTTAACCCCAACTGCCTAAAAAAAAAAATTAACATGTCTACTGGACATCCAATTTGAGATGTCTGAAAGGCAATTGGAAATGAGATCGGACATCAGCAAAGAGTTTGGGGCAGGAAGTAGATTTAAGAATCATCAGCACAGAGATGGTAATTAAATCCATGGGAGCTGATGAGATCAGCGAGTGAAGTAGTGAAGAGGAGAGGGCCCAGGACGGAAACCTGAAGGACACTCATAATTAGATGGTGTGATTTAGAAGAGTATCCAGGAAAAGAGACAGAGGATGGTCAGATAAGCAGGAAGAGATCCAGGAGAGAGTTGTGTCCCTAAAGTCTAGAGAGTATCGAGGAGGAGAGAGTGATCAGTAGTGTTAAAGGCTTCAGAAAGATCAAGGGGAATGAGGATGCAGAAAAGGCCATTGGACTTAGCAATTAAGAGATCATTAGTAGGGGCAGCTAGGTGATGTAGTGACTAGAGCACCTACTCTGGAGTCAGGAGGATCTGAGTTCAAAACCAGCCTCAGACACTTGACACTTACTAGCTGTGTGACCCTGGACAAGTCACTTAACCCCGATTGCCTGGGGGAGGGGAGTGAAAGAGAGAGAGACAGAGAGAGACAGAGAGGCAGAGAGAGAGACAGAGACAGAGAGAGAGATCATTAGTAACTTTGGAAAGGGCAATTTCTGTGGAATGATAAGATCAGATACTAGATTATAAGGGATTAAGAAGAGAATGAGAAGAAAGAGAGTTGGAGATTACAGATAGCCTTTTTGAGGAGTTTAGCTACAAAAGGTAGAAGAAATATAAGGTGATTATTAGTGGGGATGGAAGGATCAAGAGAGGATATTTTCAGGATGGGGCAGACATGGGCATGTTTTCAGGTGGTAGGAAATGAGCCTGTAGACAGGGAAAAGGTGGAAAATAAGTAAAAGAATGGAGCTGAGAGAAGGGACAGTGTGTTGGGGGAGACAGGATGGAATGGAGTTCCTTGAGCAGGTAGAGAGGGGTTAGCCTTGGTAAGCAGCAGTCACTTTCATCACATGACACAGGGGTAAAGGAAGAGATGGTAGCAGAAGGCACCTGAGAGATGGGAGATGAGGAAGAGGGGAGGAGAGGAGACTTACAGAGAATGGCCTCAATATTTTCTGTAAAATATGAGGCAAGGTCCTCAACTGAGAGAGTGGGGAGAGGGGGAACCATGGGAGGTTTGAGGAAGGATGAAAAGGTTTGGAAGTTCTGTTTTCCGAATGGAAGCAATATCCAACTCCACTAACAATTCAATAGAGGGCTTTTCTTTCCACAACCCCTTCAATATTGAAATATTGTCATATTTGCCAATTTGTTGAGTATGAGATGAAATCTTAAGATAATCCTTCATTTTAAGTAAAACTTTGTCGAATGTCTTCAGTAAAATCTTTTAAAATGTTCACTACAAATAATAACATGTAACATAAGTCTTATTACAAACTAAAAATTGAAATCCTGTATTTTTAGATCAATTTTATTTCAAGTCTAACAGCATAAACAACTTAATGAGAAAAAAAAATGAGTGAATGCAAAGTATTTATTAAATTCTTACTATGTTCCAGGGACTATGCTAAGCTCTGGAGATAAAAATACAAAAGAGAAATAGTTCCTGCCCTCAAGAGGCTTACATTCTAACGATGAAGATAAGACATATATGGAAGTTGTGCACAGGAAAGTGTATAGTGGCATGGATGGTAAGTGAAACCATAAAGGAACTGAATGATGTGCCTTTTCCAGAAGCAACAGTAATGGGGCAGCTAGGTGGCGCAGTTGATAGAGCACTGGCCCTGAAGTCAGGAGGACTTGAGTTCAAATGTGACCTCAGACCAAACACTTGACATTTACTAGCTGTGTGACCCTGGGCAAGTCACTTAACCCCAATTGCCCTAAAAAACAAACAAACAAACAAACAAACAGAAGCAACAGTAGCATTGATTTCATTACTCTTCCCAGGACAGAGAGGGTATTTGACATGACAAGAAGGTTGAGTGATTGGGTGACTGACGCCAGTTTGATGTTCTGAGCTCTCATCAGTCACCAATCAGCACAGCCGAAGAATAGGAGCTGGAAATATGGTTGGGAGGGCAGAAGCTATGTGGCAGAAAGATATTATTGTTTGATAAAATCATAAAATATTTCTTAACCATTTTCAATTCCTCTTTAACAAACCAGATTGTTCCAGTTCATCACATTTTTTTGCTTTAAAAATTGCTTTACTTTTAATTCCGCTGTACCATTTCTTGTTTGTAAATGCTGTGATAATTTTCAGGAAGCAGGAACCATTAGTTTTAGCAGTTGGTAACACATGACGTGCTGTAGATCAGGACCACTAGAAATAAATCCAAATCCGAATATTTCTCACTATGGACAAATAGCTATTGTCATGTTTATATTTCTTCTGTATTTTGAGATTTATTATCAAACTAGGTTTGTGGATATTTATCTCATCATCAAAGTCTGAGTGATTGGCATTGGTCTACCCAAATAGCCAAGATGGACAGTGGCACAAAAATTTGTAATTTTAAAACCCCAGTAATTAAGGATATAATCAAAAATTCATTGGACCATACAGATCTAATTCCTGGCTTTTACTCTGAAATTTTAGAGCTTCAGAGAAGCATGACATCAAAAACTCTTGCAGTTAACTTTACCTAGCCTTTCATGAGAATGTTATAACTTTCTTAGTACTTATTAAAGAAAAAGAGTCATGCTATTTTTTAAATCATTCCCAATAAGTATTCTTGCTATTTAACTGTCTCATATCTATTTCTTTGCACATGAAAGAACCTGGCTTTATGTACCATAATGCTTGGTAAAAAACAAAAACAAAAACAAAAAAGAGTGAGAAACTATAACTCTCTGTGTAGGCATGTGGTCAATGTAAAATCTTCGGTAATGATCCTTTTCCAATAAGAAAAGAATAATTCTTCTGTCACAATCTGATTCACTCAAAGCTCCTTTTTAAGAGACTACTTGAAATTAACACATGGATTCCTAGGATTTAGATCTAGATGAGACCTTGCCAATCAAGAACCCTCATTTTACAGAAGAATGAATTGAGGCCCAGAGAAGTTAAATGACTTGATAATAGATAATAAGTAGAACTAGAATTTGAATAAAACTCTTCAGACTACAAATACATTTCTCTTTTCACTGTACTCTTCTGGGTCCTGCAATTGTTTTCTTTACTAACTTATGGAACTTCCAGAAAGTTTTAAAAGCTGAGTCCTTACATAGATAATTTATGTAACTTATTTTTAATTCTTAAAAGGATCTAGAAATAAGAGAATATAGTACCTGAGAGGAGAGGGAGAGAGGGAGAGAGAGAGAGAGAGAGAGAGAGAGAGAGAGAGAGAGAGAGAGAGAGAGAGAGAGAGAGAGAGAGAGAGAGAGAGAGAGAGAGAGAGAGAGAGAGAGAGAGAGAGAGAGAGAGAGAGAGAGAGAGAGAGAGAGAGATGTAGAGGCCAAGTTGTACATAGGACCTGGATGGAGGCCTGAATATTCATTAGGCCTCTTCAAAAAACCACCACAAGGACCTAAGAACCAGTGCCAGACGGAAACGCTGAAATGATGACGTATATATGATAGGATGGAGCAAATACTGAGGACCTTGACTTGGCTAGCACTAGAGAAATCAGCACATGAAGAAACTACCTGCGCTAGTAAGCAAAATAAGAAAGAGCAACAGATAATCATGGTGAGGACACCAGACTTTTGCCTTTGCTGGGACTGTGAATCAGGTGGATTGTAAAGGTCCCTAAAGAAGGTGGGGCCCAAGAGAAAATTGCTTGACACCCTCCAGAAAGGAAAGGAGAATTTTCCTAAAGGTTGAGAGACACAGGTATAAATCCATTCTGCAATTTTTTCTGTCAAGTTAAAAAAAACTTATCCTATAGCCCATATTTTATTAGTCTGTGGGCCTTTTTGAGAAACTGAAATGAAACATTTTCAGGAGGCTTAAGAGAGATTTTGTGAAAGACTCTGCCCTGACCCCCATTATGTCAGTGCCCATCATGTCAGTGCTCAGGACCTAATCAATACATGGGGGATGTGTATGTATGTGAACACGTAAGTAGACACCTATTTATAATTAAGGAAAAAACCTTTGAGGAGCAAGTAATAATCACCGATAGGGGAGGGAGAACTCTTAAAGAGTTTATATTCCTCTTTCTCCCCATATATTTTATTTTTAATACAATATTTTACTTTTCCCCAATTACATGTTAAAACAATTTTTAAACATTTTAAAGAAAAGTTTTGAGTTTCAAATTCTATCCCTCCTGCCCTCCCTCCCCTCCTCTCTCCCTGAGACAGCAAGCAATCTGATACTTATGATGAAGCATGCTACCCACCTCCAGAGGAAAAATTGATACTGTCCTCCCCATATATTTTAAAATAACATATATAGATAAACAGAGTTATAGGTGGCTCTTCCACAAAAGTTACATCACCATTTGTAATGCTGAGTTCATAGTTGGCGATCCATGCATACTTTGAATTGAATTGAACTGAGTTCAATTTAATGAAAATCAACAAGAGTTTTTAAGCATTTACTCTAATGTGCTTACTAACGTGTGAAACCTGGTCAGTGAGAAGAAGCCTGAGTTAGGAACAAAGCAAAGCTCCCATAAGGGTCACGTCTGGCAACACAAGTCCAGAGGTACCACTGGTATCAGATACTGCCATCGGTCCCAGGAGACTATCTTTTGTGTTGTAATTTGAACAGGAGATCAAGTGCAGTATCAATGTTATGTTAGGGGATACAAAGGGAGAGAGGGAGGGAAAAGGGGAAGGGGAGAGATAGAGATACAGAGAGACAGCAAGAGAAAGAGAGACAAAGAGAGACAAAGACATGCACAGAGAGACATATATATATGTACACATATATATAGAAAGACAGAGACAGAGAGAGACACACAGAGAGATAGATATAATATAAATGTGTGTATACACACACACACAGAGGGAAAGACAGAGAAAGACACACAGAGAGACAGAGACTGATTTATATGTAGAGGCAAAGACAGAGACACACACACAGAGACAGATATAGAGAGACAGACAGACAGAGACAGAGACAAAGAGAGAAACATAGTGAGAGTGTCTGCCTGCAAAGAACTTACATTCTCCTTGGAAGAGATTGGGAGGAATTGTATTGAATGAAATTCATAGTCATAATGATTACATCCCTGTTTCCTAAAGAAATATGTGTGAATGTTATTGAATAGGCTAATGTACTGGGAACTATATGGTACAAGTCTTTATTTCAGACTATTTTTTTGGCCAGGTGAGACATTAAAACCTATTCTTTTGGACTCAAGTTTAACTGGCTAGTAATTTTTCCCACTGTGAGGGAAATCTCAGGAGATTTTTTACTCCAAGGGTAGTTGCTTAGTTCCCCATCTCCTCGTGGGTTGCATCATTCTTGCCAGGGGGAGGTTGGAGGGGAGAGAAAATAGACACTTCAGACCAAGAAGTGGCCTGTGACCTTTGATGTCAAGCAGCTATTGGAAACTTCAGAAAATTAATGAAGGTAATTGAACTTGTTTGACTAGTACAGTTTGTAGCACTGATACTCTACTTAATCTCCTGTTCACATTACAACAAAAAGATATTCTCCTGGGACAGATGGCAGCATTTGATACAAGTGAAGTCTCTGTACTTGTTTTGCCAGATATGAGTCTCTTGGAAGCATTGCTTTCTGAGGCTTCATCTCCCTGAGCACACTCTACTCTACGGAGGTTTCAAGGAAAGTCTGGGTGACCATCTTTTAGATGGCCTCTGAAGTTCCTTTCAGCTCTCACATTCTGCTATTTTGCAGGGAGTGGGGGTGGGGGAAGATTTAGAAGGGGGTAGCCCTGAGAACCTAGTAAGGACATCAGTTTATACCCTTTGGGGCAAAAGTAGCTAACAACTTCTGAATGTTGGGGGGGGGAAACTTAGCAGTTTTCCATAGATGAGTCATCACCACTTATTTGACTCTGAACAGACTTCAACATCCTTGTGGGTAAACTGCTTGAGAGCAAGGTTCTTGTTCTCTTCCTCTAGAAGCTTTGTTTGTAGGTTTGGGAAAGAAGGGCCTCAAGATGGAGGTGGAGGAGACCTCAGAGAAGGGAGAGGGATGGGGGGGCAGTTCCTGGGGTTTGGGGGGAGAGTACAGGGATAGGGGAAAAGGAAGCTGCCTTGGCATCTTCATTTGGTAGATAAAAGGGGGCAAGCCCCTGGGCAAGTGAGGACAAAAAAATTCTGGGGAACTGCTTCTATTTGAGCAGGTTGAGAATATTCAAATAAAGTACCTGAGGCCCAAAGAGGTTCAGTGCCATGCCCAAAATAGACTAACCACTAAGTGGTTGAGGAAAGACTAGAAGAATCTAGGTCTTCTGCACCCTTCATGTTCTTTGTAAACAAAGGTTGCACTACCAACCCACCATTGAGTTATGTTTTCCTCCAGCAATGGAGATGCATATTTCATGCATATAACTTTCCTTGTAATCAGTAGCACACATTTTCTGAAATGGCCTTTTGAGGTTAGAACAATAGGTAGCCTTGAGTTACAGCTGTGAAAAGAGCACTGGCCCTAGAATCAGGGGATAGGGGACCAGGGTTCAAATCCCACTTCTAAGGATAACTACCATGAACCTCTCTAGGCTTCAATTCCTCAGCTTTGAAATGAGAAGGTTGGTGTCAAGATCAG